ATTTCTTAAATTTTATTTAAAATTTAATTCTAGTATAAATGTTATTCGTCTGCCTAAGCAATTCATTATCTACTAACCACCTTGATTATTGCAAAAATAAATTTAATTTAATCTTGATTATTATCAGGATTTGCCATCAATGTCTCTCATAACAATTGGCCATAGCTTCGATTTGGATTACCTCTATCAGACATATGTATATCAGCTGAGGCGACAAGCAGCAAAATACTTCAATATCTTTATGGCTCGAGGAATGCATATTTCTGATAAGTTTTGTTTTGTATTTATAATAGTTATTCAGCAACTCTATTAAATTAAAGCTCCCTGTTTTAGTAAACACGTTTATTGGCCACGTTTGTGCATGATAATAACTGTTAATACAACAATGCTCTTTTCAATATTGTCATTCTAGCTATTATTTCTTTCAGTGTAGCGAAATACAAATGAGCAATAAATATTTATATCTAAAGAGATGCAACGGAACGTGCTTGGAAGTTAGTTTATTGCTAGATGTAATTATACCTAATATATTGCAAGATTATATTATATTTGCTCGAGTCTAATTAGATTGCTGGAATTGCCAGCACAATTTTCTTATTTTTAGCAAGCAAATTAATTTGCATGAATATCAGATCTAATTGGACTGCCAGTTGGATTCCAATTATAAGTGAATAAGTTTGCTTTCGCTGTGTGTGTGTGTGTCTGTGTGTGGCTGTGTGCTTCCCAATTGAGATCTGGTGTAATATGAGCTGCGGGCCTTGGCATATTAATCCAAATGCTCGACACTCACCTACATGGTTATGCAACTGCGGATGCTGTTGTTGCTCTGCCGCTGCTGCCGCTGCCACTCTGCCTGTTGCAGTTGCATCACAGCGAATCACAGCTTCGCTTGACCACACCTGCCTTGCCCCTTCCGCATGACACGATGTGACATGGGGCGGGCTGCTGCTGCTGCTGCTTCATGGCAATGATTTCATTAAACATTTGAATTTCAAGTTCAGCTAAATAAATTGCATTGTTTATATGATTGCATATACAAATAAATGCATTATATATTTATTTATTTCTATCCAGCTCTCGTGTGAATTTTTAAGGCGCATCTAGTCTCGGCCTGAGCCATCCACCCACTCTGACTCAATCTGGCTGGCCCTGACTGCAACTTTTACTTAAGAAAGTGAATTTGATGTCGTTTTGGCATTTGTCAGTTTATGAACTATTATTCAGCTGCTAACAAAGCTTTAGTATTCCACATCCTTTTAACTGCAGAATGTTATCTTTTAAAAGGATTTCTCATTCTTCTTTTTATACTTTTTTGCTGCTGCAGGAAAAGGCAATTGGCAGCGAAGAAATTTGAAATCCTTTTTTATGCTTTTTCAAGTGAGTGTGAAAAGGGTATATAGGTTGAGCGAGCTGAGAGTGTAGCATTTATTTATTTGGGTAATTTGTTTGGTAGAAGACTTTAGAATATTTTTTATTTTTTTATGTTATGGTTCAAATATAAAAAAATATATATA